TCTATATAACGAAAGGAGACTGCGACCACACAAAAGGCCACACCATCTTGGTCTTCATAACTATCACTATTTTTTCACCAACCATAATCACATGTTTCATGTCATGTATTTAGAAAGTTTTGAGGACCGACCTTCTCATCTTTGTACTATTTATCTAGGTCAAATATTGCCAAAATCTAGATACTTGGTACGAATAAAGCCTGTTTTAATGCTTCCATTAGTATTTTCCTTCAGTCAAAATAGTTAATAGACATATTCTATTTTTATGCAAGTTGGTTAGTTTACAACGTGAGCGTGATGAAGCCATTCTAGCTGCAGAGGGCGACAAGCAGGCCGCTCTTTCATGTGCTGAGCAGGAACGCACAGCATTGGCTGAACGTCTATCTGGACTTCAGCAACAGTTGCGCACGTGTGAGACGGAGCTCGAAAGAACTCGGCGCGAGGCAGCAGCTAGACAACAGCGAGACGAGACTGCCCAGGCTGAACTTGGAAATGAGCTTAAAGACTTCCGTAGACAATATGAGGAGACCTGGTAAGTGGGAAAATAACGCGGATAGAGTATAATGGGGAATGAAAAAGAAAATGATAATACAGGGTCCCTGTATACTCATGTATTTTGCGTTTACCTCAATTTTATTCTATTTCTTTTTAGCTAAAATGGTTGTATTTGTAGAAGAAACTTTGTTTAATGAATATTTCGATTTATAATCAAAAACTGAACATGTCAAAATGTCCTAGGTCTTGCCATACATTGATTGCTTTCAGGCTATTTAAGACATAATTGAATAAAAAAGCGCAGATTATGAACTATACCGGAAGGATTAATAATATTTATAGATTCTAGTATATATATATATATATATATATAATTAATAAATTTATGCGTTTAAATATGGCCAAGCTTCTATTCATGACCTAGTGTTCTATCTGACAATGGATTTTGTGCTCTGCAAAGAACTTTACCCTTATTTTACAATAATAAGGAACCGATTATATAATATATGCTAAATAAATAGGCAGATAAGCTGAGTTTCAAAGAATTCCTTAATAGATTGAGGTTAGAGTACCTTTCATTTCGTTTGATGAGGAGTATGAAAGGGATTCGTAAGTTGGTCTCACCGGAAGACAGAGTAAAGTACCTTTGAGCTGTGACTGCAGATTTGTGCGAATAAGTCCTCGGCTTACCGTCCTGCAGCACTGATGATTCCTTGCTGATATTTTCGTTCGCCATGTGACGACATCGTGAGGGCAGGACATCATGCTCCACTATAATTTACCAAGCACAAAGACAAGAAAAGTGTCCGACTTCAATCCAACCTATAGCTTATGGCATAACTTTGTCCACTTAATAAGGCATCACACAATTTGGATGGATATAATACATGCTTGCTAAAAATGAAGAAATTAAGGCAATTGGGACAGAAAAGTTGCTCCCTAAACCCCCAAATAAATTATATTTTTTGCAACTTGGTCATGTTAGTAGGAAGACTTAGAGGAACACATCTAGTCCGCAGTCTTGTCTCTTTGACTAGCTGTACTATGGTGCTAAGAATGGCGAAACTCACTGACGATTCCAACGTTAAGTCTGGGAAAGTACCACGTCCACGGTCCAAATTTGAACTCCGGACTAGGTGCGTTCCTCTAAATTTATATTTTGTTGAAGACATGAGGACCATGATGGTTTGGCCTCCGGTATGGTCGCAGTCTACTTTCGATTTATAGAAGTGGGTTGACCTCGTCGCAACTTGCTCTTGTTGTCCGGGTGACTTAGTAGAAAGCACCTAGTCCGAAATTCTCTACCATAGTAGTTATCACAATTCCCAGCATCAAAAAGTGGACTTGGTGCATTCTCAAACGTTTCGCCGGAATCATAGTCGGCATCATCAGTGCGTTTTGCCATTCGCAGCACCAAGCTACGAACTCGTGAAAGAGACAAGTGAAGTTAATCACTCGACAAATGCTCTGCCAAAAATGGTTACACTATATGGTGACAAAAAAATCAAGCGGAAGATTAGGGAGGCCATTGACATCCTTGGGGAGAAAAATCTAATGTACAGAAGATTGGAGGAAGGTAGAGTTAGCGAAAACTTTGCCTACTGCTTAAGCAAACTCGGGGAAAACAAGAATAGAGCAAGACCAGCAAAAAGGAGACGCCTGGATCAAGAATCTATCGCCGAAAACGGTTACACTATCACTCCTCTTTTTGTCCTGGCCTATCTATCTACTCTTTGCCATATTATCTCACTGCCTCCCTATTACAACTTCCCACTTGTTTAGATCCCACTCGTCAAAATGTGTGCCCTTCTGTGGTAAATATAGTGTGGCATCATCACACCTGCTATTCACCCCGACCCCCTCTCTTTCGATCGACTAATCCGACTCGGGCCTCCTATCCTGATCTCTCTCATGGTCCCGTAGATCCGTTCCTTATCTTTCTGGTTGACCGAATTCA